CCACCCATTCCATCAGCATTACGGACTCCGACAGAAGCGCCACCGACTCCAGCTGCACCACCGACCCCAGCAGCACCACCGACTCCAGCAGCACCACCCGGCATCAGCGACGCCGATTTCAGCCGCACCACCAATTTCAGCAACGCCACCAAGCCCAGCAGCACCACAGACTCTAGCAGCACCACTGATTCTGGCAAAAGCGCTGCAGACCCAACAACAGCAACGCCACCGACTCCAGCAGCAGCGCCACCGACTCCAGCAGGACATCAACAACCCGCGCCAACAACGACGCCTGCGGGGACGTCAGCAACCACGCCTGCATCGAAGTCGCCACCGACGGCACCACAGCCCCCACCATCGATGCTAGCACTGACGCCCGCGGCGACGGCACCAGTCCCTACCTCGCCACTAACGCCGGCAGCGACGCCAGCGGCGACCCCTGCGCCAACGGCAGCAGCTACGCCTTCAGCCACGCCAGTGTCGACACCCGCATCGACGTCAGCACAAGCGCCAGCATCGACGCCACCACCCACGGTCCCCCGACTGTGGTTCCCGAGTATGGCCGCGCTTCTTCATGCTCGCCCCACGCCGACATCTGCGACTACGTCGTCATCGGCACGACCATCGCATGCATCACCTACGCCAGATACGACAATTGCGACGGCACCACCAGCGGCGCATGCATCGACGTCAGCACCGACACGGGCACAGCTTCCAGCACTGAGCCCAACGCCGGTGGGAGCACCGACGCCAGGACAACTCCAGGCATCGACGCCAACCGCGACGAATATTGCAACGCCAGCATCTTCAGCGACACTAGAACCGACACCAGCATCCTCGTCAGCAGCGATGCTAACATATGAGTCCGCAGCGACGCCAGCATCGACTCCCGCATCGACGCCAGCACTCGCCTCAGCTCAGCCTCCAGCATCGACCCAAGCAAAGACGCCTACAGCGAGGCCAGCATCGAGGTTAGCACCATTACCCGTGCGACCAACAGCACCGACGCCCGCGGCGCCGCCAGCACGGTCGCCTACGTCGAAGTCAGCGCCGACCCCAGCAGGACATCAAGCACCAACGCCAATAGCGACGCCACCGGGGACGCCAGCATCCACGTTTGCATCGAAGTCGTCACCGACGGCACCGACGCCCGTGGCATCGTCGCTCACAGCGACGCCACCCTCGACGTCAGCACAAGCGCAGGCACGGCCTCCAGCATCGACGTAACGCCCACGCCCGCAGCGACGCCAGCACTGTCAGCGCAGCCACTAGCACAACAACCAGCGTCGTTCCCCGCAGCAACGCCCCCAGCGGCGCCAGCATCGACGCCTGCATCAACGACAGCACTGACGCCAGCATCGACGGAAGCAGCAACGGTTCTCCGACCGCGGCTCCTGAGTCTGGCCACCACGCTGGACCGACGTGCCACGTCGACGCCGTCATCGGGGCCGTCATCGACACCAGCGCCGACGCCAACCGCGCCGACTGCAACGACGCCAGCATCGCCGATAGAAGTAACCACACCAGCCCAGCCGCCAGCACCGACATCTGCATCGTTTTCAGCGCCGAACTCTGCATCGTCTTCAGCACCGGTGGCAGCATGCACCGCAGCATCGACACAGCCGCCAAGAACCTTCCCGACCAGCGCTGGTCGGTCTGGCCTCGGAGCCCATCCTGACGCTCCAAGGCGCATCATCCGAGTGTGCAAACCGGGGATCCACTTCGACAGCCGCGGCCTGCGCCCGACCTTCAGCCTACTTTGGCTCTAAAAGGCCTCTTACGTCGCCCTAGGACCGTCAGAGTGCTTCGTCGACTACGGCTTCGTATACTACGCCACAGAGGAGGTCGCCAGCAGGGCCTGCGATTACTCCCGCACTCTCGGCATAACCATGGGCAAAGCCTGGGCCAGGGCCACTGCTTCCCACGACCAATGCCGCAACCAGCTGACCCAGCACCAGCACCAGCAATGCGAGCACGACCAGCAGACCCACCACGATAACAACAGCCAACCAGCACGACTAGCAAAGACCTGCAGCCACAGGACCAGCAGCAGCACCACCGCCCCCACCACAACAAACACGACTGTGACCAGCACCACAACGCTCACGACCAGCAACACTACAATGACGAGCACGACTGCGACCAGCAACGCCATAATGACGAGCATGACGGAAATCAGCGACCGGAAACCAGAGGTACCATCCTTACCAGCATGAAAGCAGCCAGCACCGCCACCATGACCAGTGCACGGACAGCCAACATCACCATCGCGACCAAGACGACGGACCACCAACCACCCCAGCATCGAGGCCAGCACCGACGCCAGCCGCGACGCCAGAATCGACGGCAGCATCAACATCATCGCCCCAGGCATCGACCCCACCATCGACGCCAGCACCGACGCACACATCGATGCCAACAACGACGAACGCACCAAGGAGACCACCGACTCCAGCATCCCAAGTCGCACGCAGTTCATCACCGACACCGACGCCGACCAGCAGCACACCACCGACCCCAGCAGCACCACAGACTAAAGCAGCACCACTGGATCCGGTGGAATCGCTGCCGACCCCAACAGCAGCAGCGACGCCGATTCCAGCAGCAGCGCCACCGATTCCAGCAGCAGCACCACCGCCCACAGCAGCACCACCGAAACCAGCACCAAAGACTGGCATCAACGCGACCGAATCCAGCACTACCGCCTCCAGTAGCACCACGGACCCTTGCAACGCCGCCGATTCCAACATCAACGCCGCCGACTCCAGCAACGCCACCGACTCCAGCTACACCGCGGATCTCATCAGAACCACCGACCCTGGCAGCACCACTGTCTCAGGCAGTAGCGCCGCCGACTCCAGCGGCACCCCCGACACCAGCAGCGACACCGATTCCAGCAGCACCACCGACTCTGGCAGTAGGCCAGCCGACTCCAGCAGCACCGCTGACTCCAGCAGCCGCGCCGACCCCAGCAGAGCCGCCGACTCCAGCACCGCCGACTCCGGCAGCAGTGCCGCCGCCTTCAGCACTACCAACTCCAGCAGCACCGCCGATTCCGGCAGCAGCGCCGCCGACTCCAGCGCCACCGACTCCAGCGGCGCTGCCGACCCCAGCAGCACCACCCACTCCAGCAGCACCACCTACTCCGACAGAAGCGACATTGACTCCAGCCCCAACACCGACCCCAGCACCGACTCCAGCAGCACCGTCGACTCTGGCATCAGCGGCGCCGACTCCAATAGCGCCACTCACTCCAGCAACAGCAGGGAGCTCATTAGAACCACCGACTCCAGCAGCACCACTGTCTTTGGCAGCAGCGCCGCCGACTCCAGCGGCGCCGCCGACCCCTCCAGCACCACCGACTCCAGCAGCACCACCGATTCCGGCAGCTGCGCAGCCGACTCCAGCAAAGCCATCGATTCCAGCAGCCTCGTTGATCGCAGCAGCACCGCTGACTCCAGCACCGCCGACTCCAGCAGAAGCACCGCCGACTTCACCACTGACGAATCCAGCAGCACCACCGAACCCAGCAGCAGCAGCGCCGCCGAGTCCAGCGCCACCAACTCCAGCGGCGCAGCCGACCCCAGCACAACTGACCCCGGCAGCACCACGGACTCCGACAGAGCGCCATTGACTCCAGCAGCACCGCCGACTCCAGCAGCAGCACCGATTCCAGCAGGACCACCGATTCCGCCATCAGCGACGCCGATTCCTGCAGTACCACCAATTTCAGCAACACCATTGAGCCCAGCCGCACCACAGACTCAAGCAGCACCACCGACTCCAGCAGAAGTGTTGCCGATCCCAACAGCAGCAACGCCACCGACTCCAGCAGTACCACTGACGTCATCAGCACCATTGAAACTAATACCAAAGACTCCGGCATCAGCGCTACCAACTCCAGCATTACCGCCTCTAGCAGCACCACCGACCCAAGCGGCGCCACCTACCCCAGCAGGACCGCCGGCTCTGGCATCAGCGCCGTTGTCTCCAGCAACACCACTGACTCCAGTAGCACCACGGAGCTCATCAGAACCACCGACTCCAGCAGCACCACTGACTTCGGGTAGTAGCGCTGCCGACTCTGGTGCCACCGACTACGGCGGCGCCGCCGACCCCAGCAACACCTCTGACTCCAGCTGCACCACCGACTCTGGCAGCAGCACAGCGGACTCCACTCCAGCAGCACCACCGACTCCAGCAGCGTCCCTGACCCGAGCAGCACCGCCGACTCCAGCACCGCTGACTCCGGCACGTTGATGTTGTGATGCGTGTTCCAGCGCAGCTGCGCCCGCGACGAGCAGCGGCTGAGTGTAGCCCCGCCCCAACCTCCACTCCGCCGCCATGTTCCTTCGGCGTGGCGGTGGTCTCCCCTTGAGGCACGCGGCCACTGGGACTGACTACGTAGTCCGCATCTCTCTCCTGTTTTGTGCGCATTTGAGGCCACTTCCTTCTGCCATCAGCCGTGGTTCACAAGACATAGGGAGGGTGGTGTTGGTTGAGGGTAGTATGTTGGGTGCGGGGTGGGGAAATGGCATGCATTGCGATCGCTCGGTTGCTTCCATTGTAACCTGCTGGGGACCGAGCACGTTGATGGTGTGACGAATCCTCAAGTGTGAAATATTGCCCGTGCATGATTGCAGCAACTTGCACGAGCTGCGACTCGCAGACATCACCGCGCGGAGACTATCCGCAACTCAAGTCAATTCGCGTACGAGATATCAGCCATGGTTCACGATGGGTTCCTCCGGAACCTGTTGCGGATAGAGTTTGTTGATGTTGCAATGAATGACCCAGCGCAGTTGCGCTCGTGACGATGCACGGGAGGCCTTTTTCTTCTGCCATCAGCTTTGGTTCACGAGACGTAGGGAGGGGTTGTGTTGGATCTTGATGTAGGTAGGGTGTGGGATGGAGGAGATAGCATACATTGCCATTGTTCGGTTGCGCATACTGTATCCTGTTGCGGACAGAACACGTTGATGTTATGATGAATGTTCCAGCGCAGCGCGCCCGAGAAGAACAGTGGCTGAGTGCAGCCCCGCCCCTCGTTCCACCTGGACTCCTCAATCCTTCTGAAGCCCCGCTCCTCTGTCCATTCCGCCTCCATGTTCCTCCGGCGTGGTGGTGGTCTGCCTCTGAGGCACGCGGCCACCAGGACAGACGATTCATTACGGAGTCCGCATCTCTCACCCATTTTGCGTGCGTGTGAGGCCCCTGAGGAAAATGGCCACCGGGACAGACTACGGAATTGGCACTTCTCAGCTGTTTCGTACGCATGGGAGGCCACCGCCTTCTGCCATCAGCATCGGTTCACGACCATGGGGTGGAGGAGAGGCATTATTCGCGGTCGCTCGCTTGCTTCTCCTTAACCGTTGCGGACCGAGCACGGTGATGTTGCGATGAACGTCCCAGCGCAGCTGCGCCCGCGACGGTGCATGGGAGGCCACTTCCTTCTGCCATCAGCTTTTTTTCACGAGACGTTGGGGGCGGCGGTAGATCTGGATGTGGTAGGGTGGGAATGGACGGGACGGACGGACCTGAACTGCAGCAGCTGACTGGTTATCGAGGCCCCACTCTTTGGGGAACCCCCCCAGCGCCCCCCTCTCAGGTGCTCAGGTGCGCCCGTGTAGGGACCTCACGGTCGGTTTCGGCATCCCTTGTGGGAATTGCCCGCCGCTTATGGGGGGGGCGCTTGGGGGGGCTCCTTGGTTCGTTGGAACATCCCCCTTCCTCTTCCTCTCCTCCTCGTCGTGTTGCTGCCCTTCCGCTCCTCCTCTCCCTTCTCTCTTGTCTTCCTTTTGCTTCTCCTCGTCTCGCCCCTCCGTCGGTCTCCTTCCCCTCCAGGGGCTACCCCCCCTCTTGGTTGGTGGGCCACCTTTTCAACACCGGCTGAGCCCTCGGGGGCTGAGCTGGGCTTGGCTCTTGTTAGACGGGGCGGCGGGGCGGCGTTCCAGGGCCGCCAACCTTCTGATCGATGAGCCTTGCCCTGCACGAATCCTGGGCCTTCTTAAGGCTCAGCTTCGAGGGGGCGAGGGGGAAGGAGGAGGGGGAGGAGGAGAAGGAGGAGGAGGAGCAGCAGCAGCAGCAGCAACAGGAGGAGGAGGAGGAGGAGAGGAAGGAGGAGGTGGAGGAGGAGGACGAGGAGGAGAAGGAGGAGGAGGCGGAGGAGAGAGGTAGAGAAGGACTCATCCCCCCTTTTTCTTTTCCTCATTGTCCTCCTTCCCCCTTCTCCGCATCATTATGATCATCCTCATGGTCCTCTTCATCCCTCTTGCTCCTCCTTCTCCTCCTTCTCCTTTTCCTCCAACTCACCAACATTTTCCGTCCTCATCCTTGTCATCCTCGTCCATGCCCATCTACCTCTTCCCTCTTCTGCTCCTCCACCCAGTTAGCATCACATTTGAACTCATCCCCATCCTCCTGATCATTATATGTTTCCCTATTTCTCCACCTCGTTATCCTTCTTCTCCGTCTGCCCCCGGGACCCTGGTCCAGGAACTCCAGGACCTGGGGGCGCAAAGAAATCCAGGACCGAAGGGGCCTCCAGGGCCCCAGGGGCCCCAGGATCCAGGATCCGGGGCCCGGGACCCAGCCCGGGCCACGGCGGGGCCAGCCGCCGAGCGGCCGCAGCCGCCGCCGGCGGCGCCAGCGCGGCAGGCCTTGGCGGGCCGCGGGGGGGGGGCAGGAAGGGAGGGAGGAGAAGGAGGAGGAGGAGGATGAGGAGGAGGAGGAGGAGGAGGAGAGGGAGAAGCAGGAGAGGGACGGGGAGGGGGAGAAGCAGTGGCAGAAGGAGCAAGGACAGGGAGAAGGCGAAGGAGGAAGAGGAAGCAGAAGAGAAGACGAGGGAGAAGGATAGTGAAAAGGACGAGCAGGAGAAGGAGAGGAGGATCCCACATATCTCCATCTTTCTTCCCCTTCTCACCTTTCCCTCCGCCTCCTCCTCCGCCTCCTCCTCCTCCTCCTCCTTCTCCTCCTTCACCTGCTCTGTGCCTCTGCCCCCCCCCCTCCTCCACGCCATCCTCACTCCTATCCCCATGTTCCTTGCAATTCTCGTCACCCTGATCATTCTCTGTCTCGCCCTTTAGCGATCTCAGCACCCCAGTTGGGGATGTACCCCGCAGAACCCGACGGAAGCAGCCTGTATCCCGAGTCTCCCATCACCATCCCCAGCCAGACCCTCACCATCTCGGCACCCCAGCTGCCCCCCCGCACGCACGACGGAGGCGATGGCGATCGACGCTGATGATGGCGATGATCACCGATGACGGTGGCTGCGATCGACGGCAACAATGGCGACAACGCTGATGACGATGATGACGATGATGGTTGCGATGAGATGGCGAGCGATACCGATTTTGACGACGGCGTCGGTCGACCCGATACGCGATTAAAGCGCCACCACCTTGGGACGCGCGATCACCTCGCTTTGGGAGGCATCCTGATGGCCAAAAAAGACGATTCCTTTAGCGTCACACGCCGCACGAGCGAAATCAAAATGCCACGGCGAAAGCGGAACTGGCTGCTGACAGCGCGGGCAAACAGAGGCGGGTGGAGGATGCATTTGAGGAAGAGGATTTGGAGGAGGATTGGTTGGTGGAGAAGGAGGGGCAATGGCGAGGAATGGCAGGGGAGGTTGGTGACATAGAGAAAGAGGGAGAGACAGGCCTGAGCACCTAAGACTCAGTGAGATCGATCGTGGGCGCAGGTGGATCCCAGCTGACCTCACCAGTCAAATAATTATGAAACCAATAGTGCTCATAATCAGTTGTGTAAAACGTCTGCCGCCCGGCCACGGCATCAGAGTAAGTGAGAAGCGCGTGGTGTGCCCATTGAGGGCCTCAGTTCATCTCGGACTCGGTCAGGGCGACCGGGGACACCAGCACGTTGTGGGTGTGCTCCTCGTACACAATCCCATTGGCACGCGCTTTGGCCAACGCTGTCGGGCCATCTACCCCAACGGGGCATGGAGTATACCCTGACGAACTCCCCGATGACGGTCCTGGTGGCGGCCCCTTCGGCATGGCCCCCAAGAAGAGAGACGGCGGTGGCCCTGCTGGTGCATGAGCTGGTGCTGCTGCTGCAGCTGCTGCTGGCCCTGGCGTTGCTGGTCCCGGTGCTGCTGGGTCCTGCGCTGCCGTTGGTGCTGGAGCGCTCCAACTCCCTGCGGACCCACGAATCGCACTTCGCAAGTTTGCGAAGTCCTCTGGAGAAGCCTGCGTGGAAGCGTCTGGCATCTCTGCAAAGAGCGGTCTCGCGCGAAAGCAAAGCCAGAACAACTTGAGCCAATAAATGGCTACGGGCGCTGGGGTGTTTATCTGGGTGCTGTTTAGAATGTTGGGGTATTTGGGGCGCTAGACCGTTTTGAAACCACGTGCCCCCCTTGAGTTTTCAGTGCGAAGCTGGACTTAGGATTCGTTCGGGATGCATCGTCGCCATGGCTTGCCCAGCGCATACATGGTCAGAACGCATTCTCTTCGTCGATTGGTTCGGTATCAGGGCACGGCTTGGGTTGCCACAGCTCCCCCCAAGACCCACCGCCACGCCCTCTGGATGCTATGTCTAACTCTTGTCCTGTACATTATTTCTGTTTGTTGCGTCTATCTCTCTCTATGGTTCTTTCTTAGGTTTTCTCCCTCTCTCTCTCTCTCTCTCTCTCTCTCTCTCTCTCTCTCTCTCTCTCTCTCATCTCTCTCTCTCTCTCTCTCTCTCTCTCTCCCTCTTCTGCGTATTTCTCCCTGTCGCCGCCCCCCTCGTCGCCTCGCCCCTCCACCCGCTGATCGTGTTTGTCCCTCTCATTTCCCCATTCCCCTCTCCCTCCCTTTCTTTCCTTATTCCATACCTAGGCTTTGCCTAGAAGGGTTCTTACCCTGAATGCTTGAAGGGCCGGGCAGTGGACCCCGCCTTGGGCGGTTCCCCCAACATCACCTGGGAGCGATTCCCCCAGTCCCCTGGGAGCTTCAGCTAGCCTTAGCTTTAGCGTTAGCTTCGTTTTAGCTTAGCTTTAGCTTAGTTTCTAGCTTAGCTTTAGCTTAGCTTTAGCTTAGTTTTAGCTTAGCTTTAGCTTAGCTGTAGCTTAGCTTTAGACTAACGTTAGCTTAGCTTTAGCTTAGCGTTAGCTTAGCGTTAGCTTTGCTTTACCTTAGCTTTAGCTTAGCTTTAATTCAGATGTACATTATATTTAGCTTACCTTTAGCTTAGCTTTAGCTTAGCTTTAGCTTAGCTTGAGCTTAGCCTTAGCTTAGCGTTATCTTGGCGCTAGCTTGGCATTAGCTTAGCGTTAGTTTAGCGTTAGCTTAGCGCTAGCTGTAGCTTAGCTTTAGCTTAGATTTAGTTTAGTTGTAGCTTAGATTTATTTAGATTAGCTTTAGCTTTAGCTTAAACTTAGCTTTAGCTTTAGTTTTAGCTTAGCGTTAGCGTAGCTTTAGCGTAGCTTTAGCTTAGCTTTAGTTTAGCTTTAGCTTAGCTTTAGCTAAGCTTTACTGTTACTACTAATGCTGCTTTCCTCGGGGATCCAACTCCCAGGTAGGGTCGCACTGGGGCGGGGCCAGTCGGCCGACGCTGGCCCCCCCCCCGGCCCGCCGGCAGGCCTCTGCCCGGCGGCCCGGCGCCAGCGCCCCGCAGGCTCCGGGCAGGGGGTCGAGGGGGGGGGGATCTGAGGCGGAGGGGCGCGAAGTAGGAAAGGACAGGGCGAGAGGGGGGGGGGAGAAGGGGAAACGCAGAGACAAGGGCAAGGACGAGGAGAAGGACGAGGACAAGGAGGAGTAAAATGAGAAAGGAAGAACAGGGGGAGGAGGAGGAAGAAGACCATGGGTGGAGGAAATGTGGAGGGCACTTTTTTCTGCCACATGCAGCGCACGTCTCTCTAGTGAGCCTGCGCCTGAATCATCCTGGGCAAAAGGGCCCTCATCACTGACACCGTCATGGCGTTGCCTGCCAAGTGGCCAATCTGCGCACGCGAGAGGCCACTGAAGTCGAATTCACTCATGTTGCTGCCCTGCAGGCGAACGATGCTCCTGATGCGGAGGAACGTCATGGTCCGCACGTTCATGCAGCCCCTGACGCACCCGCCCCTACTTCTCGTTATCGTCGGGCAAGCCCCGACCATGTACACCGGCTTCGTGCGGCCATTCTGCGCATCCACAATGACGCCAGTAGCACGCGCGTTCACATTCGGCTGGTCTGTGACGAGCTTCTCGACGGCACGCTCGATGCGCTCCTGGGCGGGCTTCGCGATGCGCACTCGCACCCCCCTTCTCTAAGAACGATCGCAGAGGTGGCGCCCGGAGCTCCTCTGGCCACTCGAACGCGTCGCACCTAGGGAGGTCAGAACGCAAGCACACGATGTACACACGTTCGCGATGTTGGGGTACGCCGTAGTTGAGGCTGTCCAAGACCTTCATGTGAACGCGATACTCAGCCTTCTCGATGGTTACCACCATGGCTTGGCTGATGTCCTGGAAGGTATCTGTCATCAACCCCCTGACGTTTTCCAGGACGCAAGTACGAGGACGACGTG